CAGGTTGTGCAAATCGAATCGTTCTTTTACTGCATTTGAACTTTAACATTTCCCTTTGTCACTCGACATGATACACTCAAGAGTTTTTTATTTTCATTTCTTCAACTTCTCTTGCTTTACTTAAGTTCATACTATTCCATTTTCAGTTTGATTTCTGAAATTACTACTCTTTTCGTATACTTTAAAAAATAGTAATATACACTGTTAAATCTATAGTGTCTCAAATTTAACTTAACGTGAGTCGCCACTGCTCCTACTCAATCATATCGTTATTTTATACTAAATGGTTATATTTGGCACTATACAGTGTCAATTTAACACTATATAGTGTCAAATTGACACGATATAGTGTCAAATTTAACTATCGTTTTGGTAAAAAATAACGACATATTTAGTAAGAGCAGTGGCGACTCACGTTAGATTAAATTTGACACTATAGATTATTTAACAGTGTGATATACAAAAAATTAGGATTCTAACTATAAGTTCTTAATTCTATTTAATAATTAGTAATACATAATTATTAACGATATCTAATAGAAGTTGAGAAAATTGATTTTCCTTCAACGATTATCAAGATAATCATTGAGGAAGAATCAACGATTATCTTGAAATTATAATCAAGAGAACTCTTGCGCGACATCGGGATGTCTTCACCTGAGGACGTTTGTGAAATTTATAAATGTCGGTACTATTTTTGGAAAATTCCAAGGATGAAAGAAAAACCATCAATCTCAGAGACCCAGTTTCGCTTCACGGTACGAGTGGCGACAGCCAAAGCGATTCGAGGATGAGACTCACTCTCTCCGTCCGATGCCGTTTATGAGCGAACTGTTCTCAAACTGTTTTTATAAGAAAGATAAATAGGTGCTTTTGATAAAACTCAACTGACGCAACCGGGCCCGAAGCATTGAATTTCATTATCGTGTGAGTCCTGATTTATCGCCCGCGCTCGGCTTACTCTCGAACGACTTACCCTCTCATGCCTCCCTCGTGACAGCCCTCTCGACGATCCATTTCACAAAACGTGATAACAAATCGCGGTCTCGAAGAATTTACGTAACCAGCGGTCGAAACGTCAATTCCCCTCGCAGCGATAAAGATCGCCGTTTTCGAGAATAATGTTATATTTTTCAGGTTGCGGTCACTAGGCTTTTCGGATTTCCGTCGCGCTTTTTTCCGTTTTCAAAATTTCAGACCACGGTCGACCGTCAGATGCAATCGTCGAGAGAGCCGGGGCGCATCCGCGCGCGTTGAATAATCAAACGAAAAAATTGGCTCGTCGTAAATGTCCGTGGACCCCATCGCCATCCACCTAGCGTGAAACTTCCTCTCCCCTTCATCCTCACCTTTCTCCATTCTCCGCGCATCTTCCGACGTTCTCTCATGGCCTGTCATAAAACTTTCATAACTTTCGGTATTTCCACGAGCAGCCTTTTGCCAGTCCGCTCATGCGAGTCGTTAGATACGGCTCTTCTCTTCCCTTAAGTAAGGAAACGATGAGAGAATGAACGGGACGTGCCAGGTATAAAAAATATCTCGCGGTTAACTTTTGAGACACAATGCGATTAATTTTGACGTACTCATAATCCAAATACTTTTTATGAAGTGGCGTGATCATTTAAATTATTTTTAACTATCTCGTCACTCGAAGATCAAAGATATAAAGGATCCCGCCTTCATATGCACTGTTAAATCTATAGTGTCAAATTTAACCTAACGTGAGTCGTCACTGCTCCTACTAAATATATCATTACTTTTTACCAAAACGATAATTAAATTTGACTCTATATTGTGTCAATTTGACACTATAGATTGACACTATATAGTATCAAATTGACATTGTATAGTGTCAAATATAATCATTATTTTAATATAAAATAATGAGATGATTGAGTAGGAGCAGTGGCGACTCATGTTAAGTTAAATTTGACACTATAGATTTAACAGAGTGGAATCATATTGTGTTCTGGTGAAATGATTTAGCTTTCACACATAATGTAGTTTATATATAATGTACACTGTTAAATTTATAATGTCAAATCATACCCTGGTTTGATCTTTAATTATTTCTATAGGTTACCTAATAACTGTTCCTAATGACGATGTGTGATCGTTAATTTAACTAAAACAATAAAGTTAAACAATTTAACGTAAAAAAATGTATTAAATTTGACTCAAATTTCTTTTATTGTATATTACAAATTTACTAAGTGCATGCGTCAATATGACGTTGTTTGCTTGGAAACTTAATTACTGAATGGATTGATTTACATTTTGAACACATGTAGAAGTTGTAATAAAATTAACAAAATGTTGTTCAACTCAAAAAATCAAGTTGTCATTACTTCTTTAATATCTAACAGTGTAGTGAACACAAAAAATGTCAAAATATAAGGCTCAATAATGAATAGTTCTTGAAATATGGTATATCAAAGGTGTAAAATTTGTGTTTATAGAGCACATTTGATACTCCATAGCTTAAAAATTATCCATTATTGGACATTTTTTGTTCACATCACATTATAAGCTACATTAAACTAACTCATTTCACCGAAATTCACCGAAATTTTCTCTAATTAATGCGGAGTTTTTTGGATCGAATGTTGAGGCTAGAAACATATTTTATAAACGAACGATTCGCGTTATATTTATATGCAATATTATTGCGATTAAAATGTCGAGGTATCATAGACATTGTATTGTCTATTTACTATTCCCATGTCGCTGATACAAGTTTTTTGAATATTTATTTTTGTCGCGGAAAGACAACGAAGGCGTGGGACAAACGCTGTCTGTGTGCGAATTGTCACTGGCTGAGTGGTTCATAAATTTGCAAATAGCTGCTAACAATTCATGCCATTCAATGCGGCGACGCACTGTACCGGTAATCATTTCAAATGCACTGGCTGTATCGCTCGGTTGCATCGCTCGGTTGTGTTCGGGCAAACATTCCGGCTAAACGATCATCACACCAAATTCGACAATGACGTTCCGATCAGCGGCAACGATAAAAATGTTGCCGTTCGTACTATGCTCAGAATGCTTTAATTGCGACTTGATACGCATTATTTGAATATTAAAAATATTACTTAACAAGGTGTGATCAAATTGGAATTGGTGAAATATTTATCGTGCTCTATTGATTAATATATATTTCGCGTTTTTCGAACGATAGCAAACATTGGGATATATTGTTGTTCTATGAGTCTCGAAACAGATGAAAGGTGACTCATACCGACAAAGCGCAAAAGTTGACTCGAATAGCCGTGCTATATGGTTTCTATCGTTACTGTTGCAACTGCCGTAATACTTCTTACAACAGCAGCCGTCGTTCTCGCAGCACATTAAATAACTTCGTGTCTCGAATATCGAAATAGAGCTACGAACGAAGTAGACAGAACGATCGTTCCGATCGCATATGTTGTGTATAGGAAGAAATCATAGTTCACACTAGATCGTCGTTAGCGATATTTGTTCTTTACAACTTCTGGCGATAAATCGAAATATATGTAACTTACATTTCTCTCTTCGAAAAGCGTTGCACGTAGGTAATTCTTTAAATTCTTTGCTCATTCTTTACATTTTCGTTATTAAACTTCTCTGCTCATATAAATACTATTATTACCATTTACATAACGTTAATAATTTCGTCTCAGAAATAAGAAGGAAACGTGGTAAATTAAATCGTCGCAAACTTTTTTACGAGGTAATATTTTAGAACTTTTACTTCCCGCGCGCGTGCGCTCCTACCTATTTTCATTTCATTATCAAACCGAAATGAGTAGCGCCGTTTCATTGTTAAACCGAATTCTCGCTGATTGTGAAAATACAGAAGGCGGTTAATAACTCCGAAAGATCTCATTTCCGTGAATTAATTTTGAACCGGCGTGTGCCACTTATTCCTGTAAAACTCTGGCTCTTTACGCGAATAATGTGCAAAAGAAAAACACGCCACTCATTCATCGCTTAATTAACGCTCTTTTTATTTTGCGACATAGCTTACCGTTGCCCTTAATCTCGAGGGATAATATCTCGAGGGTCGACTTTTAAAGTGTGTATTTAAGCACAGTACGTTCTGAATTATATCATTTTGCAATTTAACGTTGCGATTGACCGCCGTGCTACGTCAAACGTACTTCCCTCAGTTTTCTAGTATTACGAATGGAAATTTGATTCGACTCGTGACTAACGTAGCTGGTCATGGATGGGATAACTTAAAAGTTATCCGGTACTGACCGCAAGATGAGGAGCGACGAGTTACAATCGGATAGTTGGCGATTTACTGTAGTAATTACCAAAATTACTGCACCACATAATGATGGTAATTATCACCGTAATTCGCGGTAATTGCCGCAGCAATTACTGGGCTGAAATCCGGAAGACTAGCGGAAAGGCCGGCAGGTGGTTGCGTCGGTGACGATCGCCTTTCCTCCCTTTCTGCCTGGGTTTCATCTCGCCTCCGCCTATTGATTTTGATGGGAGAAAATGGACGAGATATTATCACCTTTATTCTCAAGGCCAGCTTCAATAGATATGTTGCTTCCATATCTCATGGTTGGTTTCGCACTTTTACACAATTCTGTAGAATTTTAATGATTACCAACATTAGTTTAAAAATCTTCTATTCAGAGACTGACCATAAAGGTGCTATTTCATTTGTGCGTTTTTGTCGTACGATAGTGGGCAGGACAGAGAGATCCTCTATCGGATCTCTCTATCCTATAGCCAATCAACAGCCTTGAAAAATTTTTCGTACAACAAAAACGCACAAATGAAATATAGCGGCCTAAGAGTGTGTCGTTCATGTTCTACAAAATCCTGCGAAAGAGAGAGAAAAATATATATGCATATATCTTGCTCTGACTATTGCAAATTACCAGAAAATGTTGGACTAATAAAAAGTGCTCTTCTTATGGCTATCTGTGATTAGAGAGAGTTTATTAAAATTCTTCATAATGTACTTTTACAGTGTTCTAACCATTATTATTTTATTGCAGATCTGAGCCACGAGGAGAAACCGATACTTTCGGCGTATGGTGAGTTTATTCATTACTTTATAAATTTGTGTATAAGATGGTGAAAAATCAGAACTGTCGTGATCATTGATTACCATTCAACTTTTAATGCGTTTCTCATGTTTTCGAATCGACGGATAGGGAATGATTCTCTTGATAACTGTGACAGACCTTGAGGTAGAAATTGCGGTATTCAGATGCGACGCGTCCTTCGCGTCTTTCGGGAATCGAAATCCGCCGTTTCTTTTCTTTTCCTAATGACTCGCGAAAAATTTCAATGCGTCTCAACGGCTCGCCTTTTCATATCGAATAATAAATGACGGCCGACGCCGTCGGAAGGCTAGGTCGACACGACGCCCAGCTGTCGAGACGCCGCTGAACTAGGATGCTAGGTGAGCTATCTAAATGCGTTGGTCGCTTCTGGCAACCGGAATGATTTTGTATTCATCTTTTGAAAAATACGGCTTTTCAAGTACGAGGCCATATGATGCTCCGGCTAACGCGACCAGATAGTCTAAGGACATGCGTCAAAGTTGCAGAGGAAATTTATCACGGGAATGACGTATTCTTTTCTTCACTCACAACCTATTTAGCTTCCCTGATTGTGCTATGACAAATGGATGAGCTTAAACGAAAATAACATCTAGTTCGCTCGATATAATTTATAATTTATGTTTAACAATCGCGATGCCATAGAAATTGTAACATTTGTTGAGGTATTCCTTTCAATTTACAAAATATATATACATTATATATAATTGAAATAATAATAGGATACGCGAGCCAAGCTAGATATTTATTGCTAAAATTTATATGACGATTGATAAATAATGATTAATAAACAATTAAATGGATATTTCAATCTTTATCAAGTCATTTCCAATATTAGGCAGAAACAAGTTATTTTAGATGGTGCATAATACGAATTTTTATATTTCAAACTGCTGTTCGATATTATGTACCATGCAGAATGACTTGTCTAATATTGAAAATGATTTGATGGAGGTGGAGACATCTGTTTCATTATTATTACAAACATATAAATTGTAACAATAAATATTTACTTTGGCTCATAGCTCGTTATTACCTCAATTTGATTTTTAGTTTAATTAAGCTTACTATTATTTCTTTCATTTTTATTTGGGTTTAATTTCTGGCATTTATATTCTCGATGTAGGGGAGCTCACCATGACAAGATAACTTTTATTCACATTTTATGTATGTTAGTTTGTGTTGTTGAGCCTCTGAAGAGGGCTCAAAAGTGAACCGAAACATGTAAGCGCGTTTAATAAAATAAAGAAGTTTTACGCTTTATGGGTGTATTATTTGCGCGACGTCTTCTGCGTCTGACTCCTATTGCCCTTATTCTTTCCAATTTCTTTTGTTTCATTATATATATATATATAAATTTATAAAATGAAATTATTACATATTTATTTACACACAAAATCTGTTTATATTATTCTATTTCTCTATGTTGCACTATTATTCTTTGTTTGCTCCCTTTGCGCACTGTGTTTCAAACAATTACGTGCAAGACGTTGCGTAAATAGATGGAGCTATACTGAAATGGAGATCGATGGCATCATATTTATTTCAAGTTTCGGGAATGGATTCACCTACTGAGAACGAGATCTACGTAGGATAGCGACCGGCGCCATCGACGACGTATTCGTGAGTCACTGCGGCGTCTTCCTACGAGACAGATTGTCGTCCTGGGATCACACCACCGGATGGCACTCGCAAACTTGCCTTTCTGCCTGTATCGATTTTCGAGCTAATAAAGTTTGTATAGGTGCAAAAGTTGCGTAAACTCACGGTCGGCCGTTTCCCTGTTCTCGCTCGAACTTTGTAAACTACTAGCCCCGCGCATGATATACGTGAATGAATTTGGATCAGCGGTTAATTTTTTGACTTCATCCCGTGGCGAATGAATAGTGATCCGACGTTATTTTATTAACGGCCAACGGTACGAGAGCTCCAACAACGAAGTCGCGACTTGGGCGCTTTAATGAAAGCCATTGTTAGCCCCGTTTTAACTTCAAGCTCGAAAATTCTGCGCGCGGATTCGCAACTGCTTGAATTTAAAGCAGCGCGTAACTCCCTAGAAACGAACTCATTGCTATTAATTACATGTTCTTTTGCCAATTAGATGCGTCTGTATACTATGAACATACTGTTTCGTTTATAGTTCGCATCATGCAATTTGTGCTGTGTAGTTAATGAAGTTTGCCTTCATAAAATTTGCGAATCTTTCAGCCGTTAAATCATTATAATTTCAATCGCTTAATTAAACATTAACTCCATAATTTGTCTCAGCCTACAATATTTTTTCCAGCCGTCTCCACACGAAGTGTTATATTTCCCGTGACTGTATATAAACGTGACTCATATAAACGTAATAACCGCGTCGCACTGCCACGCGAATTATTATCTGCTGCAACATACGAAATTCATTCATCGCTTTTTATTACGGTCGCGAGTTATTATTCTCATTTCGCGAAACGGAGAAATGCCGCCTCATGAGGGACTCGAACGACGTTGGCGTTTAATTGTCACGCGCATATCTGAACGAGAAAGAAATTGCTCGCATTATTATTTCCCTGCTCGATGAACATCCATCGTGTTTGCTCTCTCTCGTGTTACGTGACACGCGTGACATCGGCGGGCCTTGCATCGCTCGTTTTCGTACGCACGTACATACGTGGCAACAACCGCAGAGAGTTGTGCGGTTTTCTATTAACTCGAGTGCCGCAGCAGCGTCGGCTTTTCAGCGTGGATTATCGTCGGCGCAATCCGTGCTGGAGAGTCTATCGAGTTCCCAGGGCGAGGAAAAACGGGTTATTACGACGTGCTGTTACGAACGAGACGTACCGTAATTATTGAAAAGGGGACTATTGTCTTTTGATCGGACTTTATTCAATGATGATATAGGCAAGTTTATAGATTAAGTAGAAAGTTCATGTGTTACAAGCAGCTAACGAGAAACAGGATGACTCCTTTTATACCGAATATTCGATACGCGTATTAATTAGTAACTTTCTATTAAATTACTTTAATTTGAGCAATGTATTTAAAGAATGATATACAATATAAATTAATACAATATATAATACATCAAAATGATTAATTAAATACACATGTCATGTACATGCGAGTACTCATAGAAAGGTCTCTTCGTTTCAAAGAAATGTTTCTTTGCTATGCGGTTAAAGAAAAAATTTTTATTTAAACATTATTTTTTTATTTAAACATCACTTTTTAAAATCAAATAATTTTTTTATCTGATTTCTAAAAAAAATGTTTAAATTAAAAAAAATTTTTTCTTTAGCAAAAAAAAACATTTCTTTAAATCGAAAAAATCTTTCTCTGGGTGAGGAATGAGATAATGACCAAAACTGTGTATATCAATGTCTACTAATGTTCTAGTAATACCCATTAATGCTCTAGTAATGTCCATTAATGCCCCGGTAATACTCATTAATGTCCTAGTAATGCATAATCTCATACCGCTTATTATAATACACAATTCTCTTAAATAATGCTCAGTAATGCCTATAAGTAATGCCCCATATTTATACACCGCTCTCAGTGATTTATCCTTTGTGTATGTTTACAAATATCTCCGAAATTAAGATAATTCAATAAAAAGTTACTAGTTCTGATATCCATCAAGTGCACGATGTAAACTAGGCTATTGACCGATCTGATCGAGTGGGACCTTCACTTCAATAAAAGAGGTAAAGAATCGTTAAAATAATACTCAATAACATGGCATGTTAGAATACAAAAAATATGTTTGAAAAAATCTAATGTACATATAATTTAAGGATTTGTTTAAGTATGATCTATAAAATGTTTGTAGAGGACTGCAAGTTCAGAAAGGTCTTAAATAAAAAAGGATCATAAATGAGTAGAGAAATCGGGTAAAATAAGTAATGGGATTAAGGTTTATCAAGATTCAAGACAAAGTAAAATCACTGGAAAATAAATTAACAATAGGAAACTTCATGTCAGAAATGTGTTACGGTAAACAGCGCTTGCAGAGTGTGAAAATGTCGTGAGAGAGCTAATGGAAGAACGCTAAATGAAAACATTGATATAAGCAGTTGAAAATAATATATATAAAAGATGCTTCTCCATTATTGAAAAACTCGAGCGTATCGAGTATTCACGCAGAAATAAGGATATTCATCGATTGCGCCAGGCGCTTCGCGAAATGAATTACGAAGAGATTTCTCTGATCCTGCCGCTTTAAAAACGGATAGATATGACGCGTGGATGATTAAATTCCTCTCTAATTGTGTTTTCTCTGTTCATGTATACGCGATAAAAATGATTATTCTCGCAACGCGATTACCAATTAGCGCTAATAAGGTTTCATGTGCAGTACAGAAGACGATATAGCTGCTGCAGGATTAACAGAGAATTATCCCGAATATATTGCTACAGAGATACCATTATTTCGTGAAGACGCAAAGTGAAAGAAGTAGAAGGTCGAAGTGAGCGTCGCTTATTTTAAGGGCTCGTAAAATTTCCACTTCGAATCCGACGAGAACGCTCGCATTAGAAAATAATTTTCGCACGCGTTTATTATCTTCATTTTCTCATTTGCGAGGTTACGTCTTTTCCTTGCTCGCGTTTCAATGACGGTGTTATTAAATTCCTTTCAATAGTTCGCTTTTCGCATGAATGAACATTATTCATTGAAGATTTATTCTTGCTCTTCCATTGAGATGCACTGTTTCACGTTTATCGATTCCCAACAATAGAGCGAACTGGACTTGTTTGAGTTTATAGATTCAAAATAATAGCTCAAAATATATAATAGACGCGTAGTCGCGCTATTTATGGATATATTACATTTATGCGTTTTATAAATACTTAAACAATAACGCGGAACTACCGGTAATTCCGCACGAGAGATGTGCGCCATGCGGAACCATTTTTTACATCACAGTGTCGGAAAAACTATTCAGCGAGATTCTTTATACAAAATATTGCTCAATAGATCGAGCGCTTGTA